ACATGGGTATAGATAACACTGACAGGCTAGAGGACCAACAGCCACCACATGGGTATAGATAACACTGACAGGCTAGAGGACCAACAGCCACCACATGGGTATAGATAACACTGACAGGCTAGAGGACCAACAGCTACCACATGGGTATAGATAACACTGACAGGCTAGAGGACCAACAGTTACCACATGGGTATAGATAACACTGGCAAGCTAGACGACCAACAGTTACCACATGGCTATAGATAACACTGACAGGCTAGAGGACCAACAGCTACCACATGGGTATAGATAACACTGACAGGCTAGAGGACCAACAGCTACCACATGGGTATAGATAACACTGACAGGCTAGAGGACCAACAGCTACCACATGGGTATAGATAACACTGACAGGCTAGAGGACCAACAGCTACCACATGGGTATAGATAACACTGACAGGCTAGAGGACCAACAGCTACCACATGGGTATAGATAACACTGACAGGCTAGAGGACCAACAGCTACCACATGGGTATAGATAACACTGACAGGCTAGAGGACCAACAGTTACCACATGGGTATAGATAACACTGACAGGCTAGAGGACCAACAGTAACAGCTACCACATGGGTATAGATAACACTGACAGGCTAGAGGACCAACAGCTACCACATGGGTATAGATAACACTGACAGTCTAGAGGACCAACAGCTACCACATGGGTATAGATAACACTGACAGGCTAGAGGACCAACAGCTACCACATGGGTATAGATAACACTGACAGTCTAGAGGACCAACAGCAACCACATGGGTATAGATAACACTGACAGGCTAGAGGACCAACAGCTACCACATGGGTATAGATAACACTGACAGGCTAGAGGACCAACAGCTACCACATGGGTATAGATAACACTGACAGGCTAGAGGACCAACAGCCACCACATGGGTATAGATAACACTGACAGGCTAGAGGACCAACAGCTACCACATGGGTATAGATAACACTGACAGGCTAGAGGACCAACAGTTACCACATGGGTATAGATAACACTGACAGGCTAGAGGACCAACAGCTACCACATGGGTATAGATAACACTGACAGGCTAGAGGACCAACAGTTACCACATGGGTATAGATAACACTGACAGGCTAGACGACCAACAGTTACCACATGGCTATAGATAACACTGACAGGCTAGAGGACCAACAGCTACCACATGGGTATAGATAACACTGACAGGCTAGACGACCAACAGCCACCACATGGGTATAGATAACACTGACAGTCTAGAGGACCAACATCTACCACATGGGTATAGATAACACTGACAGGCTAGACGACCAACAGCTACCACATGGGGGCTATAGATAACACTGACAGTCTAGAGGACCAACAGCTACCACATGGGTATAGATAACACTGACATTCCAGAGGACCAACAGTAACATCTACCACATGGGTATAGATAACACTGACAGGCTTGACGACCAACAGCCACCACATGGGTATAGACTCGTGTCAGTTGTCTTTTTTTTTTTTTTCCTTGATAGAAAAAGCTAATCCCCGTCGGTCTCTGGGAGCAGCAATTCGACTTCTCGATCGTCTTTCTTTTTCGATATGGGCGAGTGGCAAATTTGCCGAGCCTGCACTGAAACGGTCCACCCACCAACCGTAGGCGTTCTATTCCACCGTCGTCTCGAACCTTTTCTCGTATCCTGTAGCCGTACACCGGAATTGTTTTTTCTCCAGTCGACGGCGAATCCAGTAGTAGCAACAGTCGGTTCTTCCCTTCGTATTTCGCTAATGCAAACTTTTGGCATGTGTAGATTCCTTTCGGAATGTCTGCGGCTTTTCGGTGTTCCTTGCATGGAGGGGCTGCTACTTCCATATCCTTGGGCCCGCCATAGTTGGGCAAGGGGGCAGTATGCCATCCCCGTCCCCGTGGTGGCTCTGCTTTTCCCGATAGCTGTTGGAAGATACAAGACTCTTTTATCGTTGCATGGACAATTGTCCGCCAATTCCTCTACGAGGCGTTGGTAGCGCAGACACCAGAAGAGGCAGTTGTCGTCGTACAGGTTCTCTATGTTCGAGAGACAGTAGCGGATCGCGATTTCTTCCAGAACCTCGAGTTGAAGTCGCTCCTCCTGGGGTGGTGTGTAGTCTATCGCTTTGTTTTTCCACAGTACGCATTTCTTGCTGTCGACGAAGTGGTCGATGGCGCCGCACTTGCACGTAGAGTTGTCTCGCTCGAAGAGAGTGGGGAGTTCCGATAGAGCGGCCAGGCAGTCGGTGCATCGGTGGTGTCTGTCCTTGGGTTCCGGGCAACAGTAGTCATCTGCGAGAACGATGCGGAGTTTGCCCGCCGCGGGGTGAAATTGGTTGGGTGGGTAGAGGTAGACGAAATCCACTATTTTGCCGTCTTCGACGAATTGGCGAAAGTACAGCAAATACAGTTCCAGAAACTGGCGAGGTATCTGGTAGCGCTCGTAGAAGGTGTGTCCCTATTTCTCCAGGATTTGTTCCTCTCTCGGTCCGAAAGCAATACGTGGGTCACTTCTTCGGCAGGCTCTTGAAGACTTCGGCCATGTCGACGAAGTTGTCTTTGTCTGTGGCTCTGGGTCTATACCACCTCGGATTCGCGTATATCGGGCTTGCGATATGTGGTACTTCCTCTTCCCTCCCTGAAGGGACAAACGACCCGATCGGATCTCGTCATACGCTTTGCGCGATAGCTTGGTTCCGGGGATTTTGTTGTGTTCTAGAACTATGTACCTCTGTATCTCTAAATCGAGTGCACTTGCACCGACATACTGGTGTTTTTGTTTTCCCTATACCTGTCTTGGGGTTGGATAGACTAATGGGAACCACAAAGACAAAACAGTGCAAACAAAATGTGGTCGAAAATCTCAAATGCAGTTTTGTGCAAAACACTAAAAAAATGGGAGCCGAATTGGCTAGTTTGGAGCTTAAAGGCTTGGTGCACCTTTGTGGTCCCGTACCCCATTGTGTATACTATTCGAATGCTTCGGACAACTCGGGAACTGTGTGATCACATCAGGGTGACGCTGATATATTTTACGGACGCCTCGCAACAAACATGCTTCTGGTGGGGCTCACACGTTTCAGTAGGCTGTCTCGACACTGACACAGACCTGTTCACTCATGAGAGCTTGTCTTGGTCTTGGCCTCAGTCTCACATCAGGCAGCACGGCCCTGTCTGGAGACACTCACTGAGAGCTTGTCTTGGCCTCAATCTCACATCAGGCAGCACGGCCCTGTCTGGAGACACTCACTGAGAGCTTGTCTTGCCCAATCTCACATCAGGCAGCACGGCCCTGTCTGGAGACACTCACTGAGAGCTTGTCTTGTGCCCAATCTCACATCAGGCAGCACGGCCCTGTCTGGAGACACTCACTGAGAGCTTGTCTTGTGCCCAATCTCACATCAGGCAGCACGGCCCTGTCTGGAGACACTCACTGAGAGCTTGTCTTGGCCTCAATCTCACATCAGGCAGCACGGTCCTGTATGGAGACACTCACTGAGAGCTTGTCTTGGCCTCAATCTCACATCAGGCAGCACGGCCCTGTATGGAGACACTCACTGAGAGCTTGTCTTGTCCCCAATCTCACATCAGGCAGCACGGCTCCTGTCTGGAGACACTCACTGAGAGCTTGTCTTGGCCTCAATCTCACATCAGGCAGCAGGGGTCCTGTCTGGAGACACTCACTGAGAGCTTGTCTTGTGCCCAATCTCACATCAGGCAGCACGGCCCTGTCTGGAGACACTCACTGACAGCTTGTCTTGTGCCCAATCTCACATCATCAGGCAGCACGGCCCTGTCTGGAGACACTCACTGAGAGCTTGTCTTGGCCTCAATCTCACATCAGGCAGCACGGCCCTGTCTGGAGACACTCACTGAGAGCTTGTCTTGGCCTCAATCTCACATCAGGCAGCACGGCCCTGTCTGGAGACACTCACTGAGAGCTTGTCTTGGCCCCAACACTTGAGAGCTTGTCTTGGCCTCAATCTCACATCAGACAGCACGGCCCTGTATGGAGAAACTCACTGAGAGCTTGTCTTGGCCTCAACGTCACATCAGGCAGCACGGCCCTGTCTGGAGACACTCATTTAGAGCTTAGCTTGTCTTGTCCCAAATCTCACGTCAGGCAGCGCGGCACTGTCTTGAGACAGTCATTCTGGATCACGCGCATTGAGGGTGTGTATATGTGAACGGTTCACGTCGCTCCTACCAGGAACCCAGGACACACATCACCAACCCTCGGGACGGGGTTACCATTAGATCAATCACAAGTCAGGAGAAGTTTTAGTTTTAAATACCATTTTAATGTGGTTCGTCGTATGATGATTATAACGAAAATAATAATAATTCATTTTCTAACACGTAAAGTTAGTCGATTGCCTGTGAAAAGCAAGCATGGACGAGGGTTACAGTATATCACTGACATTGCACAAATCTCTGGTCGTTAGGATGTAACGGCATGACTTCATCATAAATAAACATAAAATAACTTATGAGAGAATAATGGAGACGTTTCTCTATATAAATGAGTTTGTCGTGTACAGGTGTTGAAGACAGTTATAACTTGTAGTCTACAGTATATTCTAACAACAGCATACATGAACAGAGACAGTAAACACTAGTACATAACAACATTAACACCTAAGTAAGCCTTTAGCACTAACCACGATAGACGTGTTTCTACAAACTCAACACGCACCTTTTAACCTCATCTATCAATTGCACAGCTCCAGGGAGTCCGAAATGTGAAATTTCCTTGGAGCAACAATACTGAGGTAAAGAAGTAATGGACATGACACAAAGCCCAAGGGCAGGGTTTGTTTCAACTAAGGACACGGATGTTACAAATGATCGTTTTACCAGGTCAGTTTGTGTCTTGAGTTGGGATTCTTTGTGAGAGTGAGCATACACACACAGACACGCACGCACGCATACAGACAAATACACACACAGACACGAACGCACGCACGCATACAGACACATACACACACAGACACGCACGCACGCATACAGACAAATACACACACAGTCTGCCATATTGCTGTTCGTCTTTTCCTTTCGTCACCAATCATATCGTGACAAATAGTGACGAAATAGCACAGTCACAATCGTACATATGAACATAGCAACCGTGGAACATGTGGTCGACCATTGCATCAGATGCGGTATAGTCTGTTTGTTGGCCTGTTTATTCAGGCCTCAGTATATCTCGGGGAAGAAACGCCCATGCAGTGAGAAGGGGACGACAGTTGGGAGGTCTGCTCTGTTGGTCACCTCCATTGTCCGAGCATCGAGTATAGCCAGGTAACTCTTCCTCCGGACGCCATCGAGGATGGGCAGCATGAGGACACCGTCGTCCTCCTCCTTGCCGTGGGGGGTAGGTACGAACCACGCCTCCGAGGGGTAGTGATATGGTAGGTACCACACCTTGTCCCCATTCTGTTTACATAAGTCCTTCTTGACCAGAGCAATTTTACTGAGAGTCACATTGTCCTTCTTCAACACAATACCATATACGTAGCAATACTGGTGCGCTCGGTATTGTTCGTTGATTGTCGGCATGTCGATGTTTGGTGTAAAGGGGGCCGATTTGGGTCCTTTAAATGTCTCAACTCTCACGGTCTTTGTGGCTAGGGATATGTGGTATCGTTGGATGTGGGCTGCCGAGTCAAACTGGTTCCGTTTGACAGGGTCTGTTAAAACCTTCATTTCTAAATTCTTGACGAAATCGGGGCTGGAGTAGGCGGACACGTCCAACACGATGTCAGTATCGCTGGTCTCGAAAGCATTTATATGATGCATGGCAAAGACGTTGTGTGTTGTCATGGTGATGACTTTGCCTGTCTTCAACTCGACTACATACACTGTTGTGGGCTGATCGGGATACCAGTCCAGACACTCGAACGGCTCGGCTTTGAACACCATTTTCTTAATGTTCACATAGAAGGGGCTGGCAAACAATATGGCGTACCTCTCTGTGACGGAGAAGGAATGCATGTAAGGCACGCGATCAACGTTCCATCTGGCGATAGTTTCTCGTTTTGTGGGGGAGACGATTCGTATTAGATTGATAGCACTACTCGTCCAGGGCAAGATACCGACACTTGACAAGAACGTCACGTGATGCTTTGTTCCCGGTTCTGGAAGTGGGTGAGCAGACGATAATAAATTGAGGAAAGCTAACATCCCGAAACTGCCGCTACTAGAGGAGGATACCTCTGCCGTCACAGCGCCACCTGTTGAGAGGTCACGTGGGTAGAAGACGTAGTACTTCCAGAAGTCGCTGAGAGCAACGTATTGCGTCAGGTTCCGATCCTCGTCGGTATAGGCGTAGATGTTGACGTTCATGTTATCGATGCCTCGCACCAAGGTCTGCAATAAACATGGAAGGTATAAATGCATGTATACCAGCCTGGAGTAGGCCTTCTTTAATGCATGAGAAGAGGAACTGTGTTTGGGTCTAAACGACGTCCATTAAAGCAGAAGAGTGAGAAGGTTTAAAGCCGCTTTTAACAGTTACTACATTTTTATTTCGGGAAATCCCGAAATGATGCAACTTATTGTATCTATGAACACGGGTATGGAGCAACCTAAACAAGGTCTATCGGGGTAAGTACCACACGATCAAAGGAACGCTGATTGAAGGCGCCGTAGACAACGCCCGGAACCCGGAACCCGCCCCCGGAACCCGCCACCCGGAACCCGCCACACGAAACCCGCCACCCGGAAGTACCCTCGTGCGTCTTAATCGGAATCTTCAGCTAACGCTCCAATGGAGATTAACAAAACAGTTAGAAAGGAGCAGCATTGACTTACCTGTACTTTCTCAAGTTGCGAAAACTCCGGCTTCACACCTTCGAACAGTAAGTACGGGGCGATTGTTTCGTCTCGCATTGAGTCCTCGTAGAAGTGGGAGCGGAGGAACTTGGTGGAGAAGAAGGCTGAGTTGTTTCCGGTAAACCGCCAGCTGGCCAGCTTCGCGAAGGCGTCGAAAGAATGCTTGAAACTACGTGGTCCGTTGGAGAACAGCCCTAGACCATTCCGAACCTGAAACAAGACCGTCGGGCATTAGTGTCATTAAGAGTGAGTGAGTTTAGCTTTATTCCGCTTTTTAGCAAAGTATTCCAACAATATCACGGTGGGATGCGCCAAAAATGGGCTTCATACATTGAACCCTTGTTAGGAATCGAACCCGGGTCTTCGGCGCGACGAGCGACGCTTTAACCACTAGGCCGCTCCAATTAGCCTACCTAATTAGTTTCTTAACACGTTACAACTATTAGTTAACCGGCAATCTGTTCGTAAAGGAACTCGCTGTGATGCCAGCAATCAGCACAGAAACGTGATATACTGAACACTTGTATTCTAAAATTAAACTAGGTTTACAAATTTATATAAATCAATTCAAAATAACTGAATTTAAAAGACAGTGATTTTATCAAGAGAGTTGGAGATGGCAATTCTCCCCACGCTGCAACTGTAGTCAAACTTCCAAATTATCCCGAGCATCCAGAGTGAAAAATGATGTTGTTGTTGGTCTTGCAACTTAAGAGGTAATGACGGAGGCAAACGCCGGCCCCTTCTAACTATTGTGGAACTTAGGGGTGCTTCTGTGGAGTAAACAACCATGTGTAAGACTGTCGTCATCCGTCAACTTACTGTCGCCGTCGCTTTGTGGAACTTGGTAACATCAATATCTAGTCCAACGTGCACAGAGTAATCTTATCGATAACGGTCAGTCTGTTGTGAGTGACCGTTTGCTGGTCACGGTGGCCCGTGTGCGAGGATCGCTTTATGTAAGTGGAAATGGCGGCGTTGCTGGCATGACTGGCGTTCTGTACTCGCCCTTATGAAACAACTCGACCGCTTGTGTAAACCATCAAGGTCAAGGCCGATAGTATTCCAGGACTCAATAGAAACACCTGATATTCACTACGACCAGCAAGTGTAGATGGTCCTTGTGGTTAGAGGCTGTTATATACCTATAATCGGATTGCGTTTTATCTTTCGTGTCTCCAGATAAACTTCAATTAAAACCATATAGTTTGAGAATAAAAACGAAATTCACTTACCAGCGTTCCGCGAAGCCAAGTAGGAGCCGGCGGTTGAAACGTCAACTGTACATCTTGCATTTCTTCTCTGTTTGACGTTAAGAGAAGTTCAAACCCAATGTCATCAGCTGTAGTGCACACGTAAGGCACGTGTATCACACTGCAGAAAGCAGACAGGATCTGGTACATTAACATGGCTTGTGGTTGGTGTACACGGGGCTCCGGTTTACACAGGTGATTGTTTAAATGTATTCAGTTCACGCTTAAGAATCAGAGCTGAATTGATTCCACGTACCGGCAATAACAACGAAATGTCCAGATTGCTCAGGTGGTTGATTGGTAAAGGTTTTTGTTAGACGAACAGCGCGACATATGCGAAATCCAGCTAAAGGCTGGAGTAAGAAGACAGGTGAGTCCAGGTTAAGGCGCCGAGTGGTAGTTGTGTGGTCAATTTACATAAGCGCCCCGACCTGGCTGCATATATAAGATATATGAATAGTAACACGTTAATACGCTGCAAGACAAAGTAGATTGTGATGTAAACGGTCCGGTGTTAATGGTAAAGTGGCCTTCTCCGGCATATGATGCCCAGTTTCAATGTCCAGTTATCGATACTCACACAAACATATAGTTTCACGTTAATGAGAGTCTCCAACAATACCGTTCAATTCCGCAAGAATGATTTCACTGCTGTCAGTATGTACCACTTCTTCAATAATCCTGGTCTGTGCGGTACAGGCTGGATTGCTGGTTGTGTCAGCAACGTGACGGGATGTGGCTTGCTTCGGTGGTGGTCAGATATGCAACAGGGACCCAGCGGCAGCGCACAGCCTATATAGCACCGAGTGGAAAGTGTGATGCGCTTCATGATCTATAGTGTGTTTCAGATAACGGTGCGTCATGATCCTCGGTTGTTGAAATAGCATCGCACCATGAGGTTCTAGTGTTGATGCAGTGAAGCCTGTATCATATAGCACACCAACCATGAGGGTGGCCTCAGGATGGTCGATGTTAAAACTTTTATTGATTCATTAAAACTTTCTTGTTTAAAGAGATATGTTTTAAAATCAAACTGCTATAGACTTGCCGGTTTTCCAATAGAACACATCATTAAGTTAGGACCGAATATTAACAAAAACTACAAAATTACAAATCCGTACTGGAAAGATGCACTTGATGCCTGGCACAGATATATAAAAGGATATGTAGTTAATGATATTAACATAAATGAAATTCTTATGCAACCTCGCTGGTTAAATCACCAGTTTCACAATCCATATTTGATAATCAATAACTGGTTCAAACAAGGAATTGTTCATATAAAAGACATTTTCAATGACCAAGAGTTACTCTCATTTTCAGAACTTCAAACAAAATTTGATATTAAGGGCACAGTACTTGACCTAAACCGGGTCACTGTATGTATTCCCAAAAAATGGAAAGAAGTCATTCAAAAAGTTGGACACCCAAGCATAACAAATGTATCGATATGTTCCCCTTGGAATGATCTTATTAAACCTAATAAAGGATCTAGGTCAGTTTACAATTGTCTCATATCTAAATCCAATTTTCCAAACGTATGTGATAAATGGGAAAGTGAATTAAACAATCATATCGATTGGAAGACCATATTTTTGCAATATAAACAAACTATTAAAGACACAAAGCTTTTGGATTTTCAATACAAATTTATTCATAGAGTTATTTATACAAAACGAGAGTTGTTTAAAATGAAACTAGTTGATAATGACATATGTACATCATGTGGCGTAAGTGAGAATATTTATCATGTATATATTGAATGTCCAACCATTAGATTATTCTGGAAAGAATTCACCAATTTTGTTAATTGTGTCCTGCACAGAACATTCGTACACTCAGGTCAAGATATACCAATAGCGACCCTTTGCTCAACCACATGATCATATTAGCCAAACGCCACATTTTTGTCATGCATATCAAGGGTGTGAAACCAAGCTTCACCACATATAAAGGGTTATTAAAAGATGTATATGACATTGAGAAATATATTGCTAGAAACAATTTCAATATGAATTTATTTGAGAGAAAATGGATTATACTCCAAAATGTTCTGTGAATGTCACAATGAAATAGCTTGTACCCAAGTGTATCTGTCATTGCTCCAGTTTTAAATGCTCTTTTTCCCCCAGTGGAACCTGAAACAGAGTGACATGCCACTCCTTATATTATTTTATTACAAAACTATGTCCACAGATTGTTTCATACAAAGTGTATCCAAGTGAAGTGAATAAAAAAAATGTTAAAAACAAAAATATAGCACACGAACCATGTACCTTGACTTGTCTATATCATATAGCACTCGAACCATGTACCTTGACTTGTCTATATCATTTAGCACACGAACCATGTACCTTGACCTGTCTATATCATACAGCACACGAACCATGTACCTTGACTTGTCTATATCATATAGCACTCGAACCATGTACCTTGACTTGTCTATATCATATAGCTAACGAACCATGTACCTTGACTTGTCTATATCATATAACACACGAACCATGTACCTTGACTTGTCTATATCATATAGCTAACGAACCATGTACCTTGACTTGTCTATATCATATAGCACTCGAACCATGAACCTTGACTTGTCTATATCATATAGCACACGAACCATGTACCTTGACTTGTCTATATCATATAGCACTCGAACCATGTACCTTGACTTGTCTATATCATATAGCACTCGAACCATGTACCCTGACTTGTCTATATCATATAACACACGAACCATGTACCTAGACTTGTCTATATCATATAGCTAACGAACCATGTACCTTGACTTGTCTATACCATATAGCACTCGAACCATGTACCCTAACTTGTTTATATCATATAGCACTCGAACCATGTACCTCCACGTCATGACCTTGACTTGTCCATACCCGTGTTGAGAACGTTGAATTCACCACGGTTTGAATCCATATTCTCCACGTCATGACATTGACTTGTCCATACTCATGTTGTGGTCGTTCAATTCACAAAGGTTTGAATCCATATTCTTCACATGACCTATATTCTTGTCTGTACCCTTGTTGAGATCGTTGGATTCACCACGGTTTGAATCCATATTCTTCACATGACCTATATTCTTGTCTGTACCCATGTTGAGATCGTTGGATTCACCACGGTTTGAATCCATATTCTTCACATGACCTATATTCTTGTCTGTACCCGTGTTGAGATCGTTGGATTCACCACGGTTCGAATCCATATTCTTCACATGCCCTTTATTTTTGTCTGTACCCATGTTGTGATCGTTGGGTTCACCACGGTTCGAATCCCATATTTTCCACGTCAGGACCTTTTTTGCCTATGCCCATGTAGCAAATAGTTGGTTGAAACAGGATAAACATGAAACGCATCACTGCCACTGACAGTAAATCATACTTGACATCTTAAGTACTTTAAAACACAAGATATTTTGTTACTCAAGGAAACGTTTGAAATGTGACAAAAACCGTATTAACAAAAGTCGTCGCTACCGCTCGACAGGTGGGGGCGCCGCTACGTGTGGGCCATGAATGACATCCTATTCTGTTTAAGTATATATGCGTATAAACATATTATTATACTCATAATTATCTTCATTTTGGGTTTTAAAGCACAGAAAGACCATACCAATAATCTTGAATTAAAAGGACATTTTATCCTTGAATCAGTGATATCCACAATGTATAACGTTGACACTAGTACACGTCTGAGGTACACGGTGTTAGGTTGGATAAGGAAATGATTTCCGGAAACTGCCGATGAGGAAGGAATGTTTGCTTGGCAACGCAAGTGCTTGTAATCAGCATTATCGGTGGACGTAATGTTGTACCGCTGGTAGCATCACCTGTCCCGCGCGGTAACACTCTAGTCACTCGTGAGGTGACAGGGCATCCAACGTCTCCTTCAGCATGACTGCATTTCGATGTTTAAATAATGACGAGAAATGCAGATGACGGGTATGTGTGTCAGAAGGCGAGGGAGAAGAAGGATGTGTGGGTTGGTAATTATGGAGAGGTGACATGGTGACGTGGGGTTTAACGTTAAGAGACTATTGCAATGGACAAGTACACTAAACGCCAAAAGAAACGTTACCCTCGTACCTTTATGAATTACTGAAAAACTACCAAAGATATGTTAGAAGGTATTTGTTTACAAGAAAGCTTAACAACACAGCTTTATGCAAATCACGAAAAGAATTTATCAAATGCATTCATATTTAGGTGAAATGCATCTTTTTCAGAAGAGTTAAATTGTCCTGTATTCGTCCATGCCGAAATAAACCAATAACACTGAATTTGATGTCCAAAAGAAAGGTTGAAATAAAATTCTGCTTTGGTTCAATGATAAACCATTTATAGTCACCATTTTTCAACTATTAAAACAAGAAACAACTGTTGTAGAGTGTGTAAAATTGTAAAATCATCTAAAATTATCTTTAACATTTTTGCTTGCAAAATAACATTTTTCCGTTTTCTGTTTGCATATAGAAATATCAGTCGCCACAACGCAGCAAAATTCGAGCAGTATTTGCATCCATTTCACATGTAGAATGATTCTATAGGGTATAAAGAAAGGCTAGAATACATGATATGTTACACAAGTACGAGAAATATGCCACGATTAACAGCTGAAAAGAGGGAAAGAGCCATTGGGATGTTGCAGATGGGGTCGACATACAATGTTGTTGCCAATGCCCTCGGATGCCGCCGTATCACGGTTATAAGACTTATGCAGGGCTTCAGACAGACTGGGGTCACGTAGACAGACCAAGAAGTGGACGTCCACGCATCACAACTCCAGCTGAAGATAGGTACCCCTGTCATAGGGTAACGTTTCTTTTGGCGTTTAGTGTATACATATACTCCATGCAGACGTAGTGCGGTGACTTCGACCCGACCAGTTCTTGTTTTATACGCTTGATGCTGAGCGCCAGGCAGGGTAACAGAAAGTACCATATGTTAACGTTTTCTAGTATACCTGGGGCGGCGGGGTAGCCTAGTGGTTAAAGCGTTCGCTCGTCACGCTGAAGACCCGGGTTCGATTCCCCACATGGGTACAATGTGTGAAGCCCATTTCTGGTGTCCCCCGCCGTGATATTTCTGGAATATTGCTAAAAGCGGCGTAAAACTAAACTCACTCACTCACTAGTATACCTTGGTCCAGGGTCAAACTTCCGACCTTTCGATCTCAGAAAATAACGCTTTTTTTCTACAGCCTGTAGTAACTCTTGAGCATTTCGAGCAGAATAAATTCTGTAGTTTCAGTGAAATGGAAAAATTCACTGTTAAAATCGATAGACGTATGGAAAGTAAAGGTATGTTGAGCGTCAGCGTTTCCTGTTACACCAATCTCCGTGAGGTTATGGTGATTGTTAGCAATGTACACCCAATAATTACACTGACACAAGTCACGTGACATGTACGCGATCAACAACACGTGCTTAACACGACGTCATAAACATATTGTACAAAACCATGAATGACCAAACGTGCCGTGTTTCACCGGATGATCGCTTTTCTTTAATCAACGAACACCTGCTTCTCCTACAATGGGTCACACTGCAGTCATTAGCGGGTGTTGTGTACAAGTCTCGGGTAAATCAACGGCCTTTGTTGTGTGTGTTAAGATATGCGTATTTCTTCTGATTGTCACGCCATAGTGATATTACTCGCATTCGTGGAAAAGGGAATCCAAACAAAATCGTGATTCAACTAAGAACTAAGAATATAACAACACGACAATGGTTAGCCGACCATCGTTGCTATTTTGTCA